CATTATGCTTGGATTGTCTTGCACTTGCCCCATGTGTTTAGACATTTCATTTCATTTGGTGTTGTGAATGACTCTTATGCCTACCATAGACCGTTCATTGAGAGTCTTATGCATGATTGCTATGAGCTTGAGGTAGATGCTTATTCTCTTGAAACACATATTTGCATCGCTACCTCACATTTACATGCTTGTTTCCATGATGTCCTTGATTTGGCTCAATTTATGTGCTTACATGACATGTCACAATCCCTTGTCACACCATATGCTATGCTTGATGACGACACTTGTTTGGTGAATCACCTCTTGAATGCTTGGTTTTGCACTAACGCTGACCACATTTGTTTTTCCAAGTGTTTATTGTCCTTGCTCCTTTTGAAGGAATCACAGGACGGTGCGACATTGGAGAGCGCCCATTTCAAGCTTCAACATGATAAGTGCTTGGTGGTTGTCCACACCTACATGGCGACGCCCTCTCTTTCCCATGGTGATGAAGATCACGATCCATGGACGGATCTCTCCCAAGGGAGGGGAGATGATGCGGAGCATCCCTCATTCATCCTCATGGACGTTCCATCACCACCACAAGCACGAAGAGTACCAATGAAAAGAGTCCGCGCACGCGTCATCGAAACCGAGGTTGACTCCTTCCTCTTCGAACTCCATTCGAATTCACACGAGAATCGGGTTTTACCTCAAACGGAATTGTTGTGCATTCTTAGGTACCAAGAAGAAGTCCATGAAGAAGCTAAGAGGGAGACCCAAGCACATATGGAGGAGGAGAAGGAAGGAAAACGCCTGAAGCATGAAGACTCGAAGGCTCTAGAACCCCCGGGTGCCCGACCTCCATGCCCCGGGTGCCCGGGCCTTCGGCCGCCGGCTGGGCGCTGGCCTTGGCCACTCCGGGTGCCCGGCCAGGAGGCCCCGGGTGCCCGGCCCCCAGCCTGGGCGCGGCGCCATCGCCCCGGGTGCCCGGCCTTCCACCGCTAGCCCTCACCACTGGGTGCCCGGGCCACTACCCCCGGGTGCCCGGCCTCCCCCGCCTGGCGCTGACTTGGGCCACCCTGGGTGCCCGGCCAAATGGCCCCGGGTGCCCGACCCTCCTTCAGCCGCAGCCCGGCGCGTCCCTGACCACCCTCGGTGCCCGGGCCTCACACCCCCGGGTGCCCGGACCCCTCCTCCATGCCTGCTAGCATTTTCGGGTTTTGACCGTTGTATCCCCCCTTTCTCTCACAACTCATCCCTAGGCTATATAAACTCCTTCCCTAGCTCATTTGGAAGGATAGCAAATTATATGACATGATTTAGTGAGCTTTGCTCCTTGTACCTCCTCTTTAGAGAGAGAGACCTATCCCATGGAGATCAAGACCTCCTATGGAGAAGATCCCTAGTGGATTCAAGCCCCCCATCTTGGGAAAGATCCCCATCATAGGATCATCAAGACCTCTCTCCTCATAGGATTGGGATGAGCTAGTTACCTTGTATCGTTCCTTTGTTGTCCTTAAATCATTGTGACCTCTTGTGTGTTCTTGGATCTAGCATTTGTGTGATTGGATCTAGTCAATTTGAGTGTTTTCCCTCTCTCGTGTTCTTCGTGTTCTTGGGGATTTCCCCTCCAATTCGTGAAAGATCTCCATCTAGGGTTTCACCCTACAACAGGTCACCTCGGAGCCACATTCCATTATGGTGAAGCTTCGTGGTGGTGTTGGAAGCCTCCAATTCGGTTATGGAGATTGCCCCAACCTTGTTTGTAAAGCTCCGATTGTCGCCTTCAAGGGCACCGCTAGTGGAATCACGGCATCTCGCATTTGTGTGAGGGCGTGAGGAGAATATGATGTTCGTAGTGGCTTCTTGGGGAGCATTGTGCCTCCACCCTGCTCCAATGGATACGTACTTCCTCTCAAAGGGAAAGAACTTTGGTAACACATCCTTGTCTTCACCGGCACCACTTCTGGTTACTTCTTACCTTTACTTTGTGCAAGCTTTATTTGTGTTGTATCCTTTGCTTGCTTGTGTTATTGTTGTTGCTAGCATCATATAGGTTGCTCACCTAGTTTACCCCTTCCCTCGAGTCAACCATATCGATCCTTTCAGACGTGCTCGCCAAGGTCCGCCAGCCGGTCGACGCACTCCTTGAGTCTGGTGAAGTAGGAGAGGATGGAGGAGGAGCGTTGGTAGATGTGGCGGAACTCGGTGGCGAGCACGATGAGCCGGTGCCTGCGGTTCTCCAGGAAGATGGAGCAGATGGAATCCCAGACTTCGGTAACGGTGGCACCAGCCAGTGTAGTAGGCCGAAAATCTCAGGACTGACCCTGTTGTACTGCCATGAGAGGACGTGTGCGTCGTCCTGGAGCCATGCGGCGTCCGAGCGGCGTGAGGACCCAGTGAGGTGGTCAGTGACGCCGGACTCCTGGAACTGCACATCGAAAAGAGTATGTCATTGGGATAAGTTGGGAGGATTGAGTCTAAGCACGATAGGGACGTGTTGGTTGATGAAAACGCCGACGAGCAGCGACTGGTTGGGCAACACCGAGGAGGAGCTCGACTCGAGATAATGGCGAGCGAGCAGCGCGCCATATGCAAGGGCATCGGGGGTGAGGAGCGGCATGGAGCGGATGGGGCTCGGGGCGCCACCGCTCAGCTCGGAGGGTGGCAGAGGGGAAGGAGTCGGCGGTGGTGGAGGAGGGATTGCCGTAGCCGAGAGCGGGGTGCAACGGAAGGGAGGTTTAGAGGAACCTGGTAACTGATACCATGTAGAGTAGTATTGCGGGAGAGAAGATGCACCTTGGGTGCTCTCATTCCATACATATGAATATATAGTACATGTACACAGCGCAACGGCGCACAGAGAGAGTTGGGCGATGTGCGCATGCAGAGAGATCATGGGCAGGTACATGGGTACCATGTATGTGCATGGGATCGTCATGCAACTGCTAACACCAGGGATCAAGCCCTAACAAATTAACTTGATTACATGACAAATCTCATCAAACTTCATCACCGTCCAGTAAGCCTACGAAGGAATTACTTACTCCAAGTGGTGAGTATTATGGAATTGTTGATGGAAGGATTGATGATGACGACGGCGATGAATCCCCCTCTCCGGAATCCTGAACGGACTTCAGGTCAAGCCTCCAGATGAAGAACAGGAGCTGGCGGCGGCTCTGTATCATAAAACGCGATGATTCCTTCTCTCTGTTTTTTCCCTGCGAGATGGTACTTATGGAGTTGAAGTTAGGGCTAACAGAGGCTTGTGGGACCCACGAGCTCACAGGGCGCGCCCCCTGAGCTCGTAGCTCTCTGGTAGCCCCCCTCATTAGTTCTCTTCGCCAATAAATTTTAATATATTCTGAAAATAATCATCGTATATTTTTAGCCCAATCTGAAAACTTTTATTTCTACACAAAAATAATTTTTATTTCTGCACAAAGATAACACCTGCTAGTTGTGCTGAAAACATTGTCAGTGCGAGTTAGTTTCATTCAAATAATGCAAAATAGAGTCCAAAGCAAGAGCAAAAGTGTTTAAAAAAGTAGATGTGTTTGGAACGTATCAAGGGGCATGGGAGTGGCGCTCAAGATGGCAACGGGGCCCCGAAACTCGTATCCCCGCGGGTTTTTACCCTATTAGTGGACAAGGATGGGCGTCTTTTCATCCCCCCGGGGCTGTTGCTAGGCACATTATACAACCCGACATGTTTCGTGGGTTTACACCTGTTTCGATAGTCCCCGAACCCGAAACCCGACAATACCTGGCAAAATATGATCTTGTTTGTTGTTGAAATATGCTTATCTTTGTTGCTGAAATGGGGTATTGTATTGTGCTAAAAATGGTACTTGTAGTTGTTGTTATTTCTCTTTGTTCTCAAGTTATGCTGCTGGAATATGCTCCTTGTAGCTGTTGAACTATGTACTATTGTATTGTGCTGAAATTTGCCCAAGTTATGCTACTGAAATATGCTCTTTTTGCTGCTGAGATGCTATTTTTTTGTTGCTAATATGATTGCTTAAATATACCGATTTCCCCGTGGGTTTAGAAAACCCGACGAGTTTATGGGATGGGCAAAAGGCTAGCTCCGCAGACGGTGACAGGGTCGGGGACGGGTTTGTGATTTTCTCGTGGGGGTGGGTTCGGATAGGCAAAACCCGATGGGTTTCGTCCCTGTTGCCATCTTGAAGTGGCGCCGACTATTGAGGGAGAGAAAAGATCAACCCTAAGAGGTGCGTCCACTCTTTTTTATATAGACCTTCGAGGTGGACTCAACACTTGAACCCACTAGAAGTTTACATCCATTTTCCACTCGAATCCAATCCAAATGAGCAACATCCCTTTAAGTGTGTGATCCTATAGGTTCACATACACATGAACACGAGCATATAGTTGATAGCGGAACATGTCAAATCCTTAAGTGTCCGACCCTATAGGTTCACGTACACATTAACATGAGCATACAGTTGATAGCGGCTCCTAGCAGAACATGTCAAATCCCATGCGTGTGTAAAGTTGTTTGACAAACCTCGACAATGTCATGCAACATTAATTTTGCCTCACAATATATGTTATCAAGCTCAAGGAAAGTACTTATCACTCTTGGTAGGGTCGTCGACCCTCTTCTCAAAACCGTGATTACGAGTTTTAGTTCAGTGAGCAACCATGTGTTTATCATATCATCCTTCATCATATATACAGCTAAAACTACAAACTATGCTCTGAATGAAATAGAAGACGACCACTTGCATAGTATCAGACTTATGATCTCATCATATATGTTAATCAAAACAAAATCACTAGGGTTAAAACAAAACCAGACAAGTTAACAGAAATTTTATGAAGCCTCATATGTCTAATTAAAGGACTTATAGATAATAGTACAGCAAATATATAGCTCAAAGATATTTTTAACCAAGCACAGCCAGCTCTACAAACGACTGCCTTTAAAGTTCAAACCAGCAAATTCTTCACGACAGAGTGCAGGATACGAGAATGTATTACAACAACTCATATCACGCTCTAGGACACTTGTGCAGCCACCAAGCGGGTGGAGAGCGTTCGGAGACACTCTCAATTTGTGACTCCCCCATGAAGACACTCTCAATTTGTGACTCCCCCATGATAACTGGCCACGGAAAAATCTCCAAACTTGTTGCAATCCCTGAATCATGTCTGAAATAGTACTGAGGCATCCTCAGCTCCTCTCTGTCATCATAGAAGTAGACGCTAAGAACTTCATCACCAACTTCAGAACATCTTGAGCACCCATGACCGATGAATACTTTGTGACCAGGTAAATCATCTTGCTCAATCCAGCGGAGCTGGTCATCCTTGTCTTCGAGCTTGAACACTCTTATTCGCTCAGTCCGACGACCCACAATGTATCTGATTACCATCAGGAGCCCTGTTTGCACTGGAACAAGGTACCGCCATATTTGTTGGCCTTGTTCCACCAAAAATCTGTCTGCTGGTAAGTCATCCCGCAACATAACTCCAAGTCCTGACACTGGCTGCACAATCTGATTGTGATCAAAGACCAGCTTCACAACTTCTTCATCGTTGGTCAAGAGATAAAAAGAGCCATCCCTGTGGACTACATCCAGCAGCTCATCATCAAGTGGCACGTAGTTCCCCACTGCATCTTCCATCCTGTGACCTCCGATATACTCGCAATCCTCCCACAGTTCCATCGACTGGTTACAATAAGCTGCACGCTCAAATGGGCTATCTAAGGGACGCACAATAGCAACCACCACAAACCCATTGGGAGAACCTAGGCAGCCAGCTATAGCACCTACCCTCACTTCAACATCAACTCTTCCCCCATGAGAAGACATTTGTTGTGGAAGAGGGATAACGCGTCCAGTGCTCAAGTTGTAGAGCCGGTTCCTGTGTAGTATAGCTTCTTTTTCATCAGCCTCCATCTTGTTTACTAGGGTTTTAGTGTCATCAGCCAGAAGAATCCAATCGCCTTCATGTGCTCCAGTGATTCGTTTAGCTCTCCTGACACTGTCCGGGAGGCGAAGTCGATGTACGGCTTGTCCATCAGTGCTGTAATAGGTAGGTTTCGTGGTTGATGGCAATATAAGCCATGGCAGTTGCATGGGCCTTTTTGCACCATCTACCTTTGCCTTCCAAAACTTGTTGGCACAACGAAGGCGAGCCCAATCACCACGGCAAGAAATATGATTCAGCAGCTTCTCTATCACATCCAGCGGCAACTCTGATAGTCCTGTCTTTGTGGCACCGGGTTCAGCACATGTTTCTGCATTATCCTGGGCAAAAAAAACATAAACATCTCAGATTCTTCCATCAGTGTATACATTTAAACTACAGTATGTTTAGCTTTATCAAAGAACGACAATAATCTTTGTAAGGCTCAACTAACATTGAAATGAGAGCAACATTCATGAGGCAGAGATGGCATACATTTTGAACCCAGCAAGCATAACACAAAAATAGGAGGTTTACCTTGAGGTACTCCTTGATCTGATCAGCATGAGGGTAGGAGTAATTTGTCTCAGTAGCAATAGCAAGCACGTTTTTGTACCCATTGACGAACATATGAGCTGCAGCAGCCATGGTTGGGTACGAGATTACCAAAGACAGTGACGCAACCATACAAATACCAGAAGAGAACTTCTCAATCAGGTCTTCGTCTGTGAGGTCAAGAACCTTAGGGCTGAAGACTAACCCATCTTCATAAATATTTGTGATCACAAGCCCATAGGAGAATGGGCGGATACCGAGCTTGGCAAGCAGGGCCGCCTCGGACGAGCCCACCTTGTCACCCTTCTTGGTGAGGTCCACCAGGGCCAGGATTTCAACAGTGCCCTTATTGATCTTGGTGGGGATGTTAAGCACCTGAATGAGAAAAAAAACACGGCATGGGTGAGAACTCTTGCTTAGCACTGAGTACACTGCAGTGTTATCACCAATGGTTCTCACCTGGAAGAAAGAAGTTTGGGAGGGATCCAGACCAGTGTTGCCAGGGGGAAGCACCACATCAATAGGAGCAACCAGCCCAACACGAGCAGGGGCCCCAACCTATTGTACAACAAAAACAAGATCAGCGTCACTGACTCACCAGGTCACAAAGATAAAACATGGCTAAACTAGAAATGTTTTAAAAATTAGATAATCAATGAATATATTCTCGGTAGTTCACAGTTTCACACAAAACAATTCTGTGGGCTACTTGAAAAAATGAAACATAAATGCAAAGACCAGAAACTTCCATATCAGTTTCCAAAAATAGAGTAGACAACAATTTATTAATTTCCAGTTGCAATCCAAACTCCCCGAAGTATTTATATCTGCTGCACAGGTATTAATGTATAATGCAGCAGTGTTCACAATACAAATTCCAAGCACAAATCCACATTTGGAAAAAAAGGGCAGCCCGGTGCATGTAGCTCCCGCTTGCGCAGGGTACGGGGAAGGGTGACCTCATGGTCACAAGGCAGCAGCTTTACCACTGCGCCAAGGCTCGCCTTCCACAAATCCACGATTGAGATGCAAAATAACATTCATAGTCGCCTATACAGTACTCCCTCCGTAACATAATATAAGACGTTTCTTGACACTGTCATGGAATCTAAAAACGTCTTATAAATGTTTCATAGGGAGTATATCAGTATACTCCATGACGACATTAATAGTACTACTTGCATAAAAATATAAGTAAAACTTCAGACAAATAAGCACCAACCATCCAATATTCATGGTTCATATTTATCACCAAACCAATAATCTGTTTTAGAAGTGAATCATCGCCAGATTCATGCAACCAAAATCGCATGATTGCAGATGAGTAATGCATGCAGCATTGGAACACAATAACCACTTGAGATCTCCAACCTCTTCCATAAGAACCACGAATGATCTAGATCTAGAACCGACTCCCATATAACTAAAGCAACCATGCTTGTGCAATTTTGGCAGACTTGCGTTAAGATTGAATTATTATTAAATCCATGCAACCTAACATTACTTTCCATAAATAGTAATTACAGAATTAGCATAGACAGCAATCAACAAGATGAGGTTTTAATTATCCATGCAGCAGTGTCGGAATACAAACTCAAAGGACAAGTCCATACAGTATCATCATTATGGTTCATGACAGCATGCAACAGGAAATACTACTGCATACAAATACAGGAAGCACCAACCGCCATATTCCTATTGTTACATATCCATACTACTCCCCTCCGTCCGGAAATACTTGTCAGAGTAATGGATAAAAATGGATGTATCTAGAACCAAAATACGTCTAGATACATTCATTTCTCAACAAGTATTTCCGGACGGAGGAGTAAAATTTAAGGTTTGTCGGAATGTTTCACATTAAATGATCAATGGAAATATTCTCAAATCTCAATAGTTCACACAAGTCAGTTCTGGGGAATACTTGGTACCTAAGCTGCAAAACTAAACAAAAGAAACTTACATACCATCCCCGCAAATTAGAGTAGACAAGAATTCATTAACCTCCAATTATTATCTTGCCAAATACCTGATGTATTTATATCTACTGCGCGAGGTTTTAATATAATCAGTGCAACAACTTTCACAATACATAATCAAAGGACAAATATACGTTTGAGATGCACAATAAAGATCTCACATGTTCTCCTCTGTCTAATCAAAATCTTCACCCACCCATATGACCGTGCATCAATATACTCAATGAAGATATGCAACACAAAATACCATTGCATTTAGGTAAAATTTCATACAAATAAGCACCAATAATCCCGTAAGAAAAAGCACCAACAATAATACTACAACCTTCGGCTTGTGCTACACTGCTATTTGCATTATTGAAGACACAAGTTGTATCCCAACCAACAAGCTGTTTTACTACTGAAGAATCGTCAAAGTCATGCACCCAAGTGACCCTCTAATAATTAAAACAAGATACAAACTGCAAATTTATCTTGAACATAAGAACTAAGCCAGCAGCACCAAGCAATAACCACTTCAGATCTCTAACCCCTACCATAATAGGGAGAGTTGTGTTTAAACCCCTAGGATATTCATACAGATAATTTTCGTCCCATAAATGATATAGATTTGGAACCGTCTCGCATCTAATCACAAAGATGCATAGTCAAATACCCAAGTAACATGCTTTGTCTTGCACAGAATTACTATTACACCCAATAATCATTCCCGTAACTGGTAATTACAGCACTAGCAAAGAAACCAGACGAGTTAGGCAGCAATCAAGGACAAGGGCAGGCATACAGGAGCTAGTTCACCTTGTACTTGGCGACCTCCTCGCGAACCTTCTTGAAGTCAGCCTTGGTGAAGATGAGACCGACGTTTCCCTTCAATCAGTAACAGCAGCAGCACCAAATTAAAGGATGCATACTGATAAACGATGAATCATGGGCGCACACAGGGAAAGATGCAAGATCCGGCCGAGAGACTTACTTCGAGTAGCGGTATGATAGCCTTGATCTTGTCGTTGCCCGTCGCCTCGGCGTGCACCTTGATGCAGCGGTGGATGAGGGTGTTCTTCCCCATGAGCAGCTCCGACTCGCCGCGGATGCCCCTGCGGACGGCCGCGAGCTGGGTGGAGCCGACGTGGTCTGCCTCCACTATGAGCACACTGTAGTACTCATTCAGCAACTTGCAAAGCTTCATGTCGTAGTCTCGCTTCCTGTCGATCTTGGGGACATTTTTCTTGATCCGCATCGCTACCCGCTTGAAACCCTAACCCTACGGGGTGAGCTCGCAGAGATGTGAGTGGCGCGGGGATTGTGGGTGGCGAGAGGGGCGCCCCTATAGCTTTCAGCGAGACCTTTTTTTCAGACCTAGCGAACCCTCGCTGTAGGATAGCGAGATGGGCCAGCCCAGGAGCGCGGGAGGCCGAAGCCCCCCTTTCTGTTTTCTTTTTTTATTTTACTTTTGTTTACACTTCTAAATATATATATTACAGACAACACTCTTTAAAAGCATTTGAAAATTTTTAAATGTGTATAGAGTAATTTTTTATCATGTATGTAAAAAATGTTAATTATGCATTTGTTTTTCTATTGAAAAAAAGTTAGACACGTATTTGAAAAGTTGTCGAACAAGTATTTTAAAAATGTTGGGCAAGCATTTGCAAAATGTTAAATGTGTATTAAAAAATGTTGACCTTGTGTTAAAAATGATGAAACAATTTATCATGTATATAAAAATGTTAATCAAACATTTAAAAAAATGTAAATCAAGCATTTGGAAAATATTAAATGTGTGTAGGAAAAATATTGACCATGTATTAAAAAATGAAAAAAATTGATCATGTACATAAAAATGTTAATCAAGCATTGAAAAAATGTTGAATAAGTATTTGAAAAATGTTATCTAGCCTTTGGAAAATGTTAGATATGTATAGAAAAAATGTTGACCATGTATTAAAAAATGATGACAAAAAATTCATCATGTATATAAAATTGTTAATCAAACATTTGGAAAATGTTAAAATGTATACAGAAGAAATATTGACCATGTATTAAAAAAATCTTAAACTTGCGTCAAGATTTGGATAAATAGCACCAAGGAGCAAAACCAAGTGGAAAGCTTAAGGGCATCCATAATGTGTAGCCAAATGTCAAAATAGTTTTTGGCATCGATGGGAACCATTGTGGAGGGTGCTGCCAAAGCCAAAAAAGGGGAAACCGATGCTCCCTAATTGATTGATTGAAGGAATAGAAAAATGCAACCTCTCTCCTCTTTCTCCCGTGCTTGGACGCATGTATGGAGCACATAGTCTACTCTCTTGTCCCTTCTATCACAAATCACAAAGCAGTGAGGTGTCAAATCACGAAGCACGGATGAAATAACTATCATTTTACTCTTCGTTGACTCCGCTTCTCCATCGTCTGCTTCGAGAAACCACCTTTACCGCACGCTGGACAACCAACGCTATTGTGCTGGGTTACTACCTCCATTTTTTGTATACAAGGCAAGTATCAAAATTACAATTTGCAGAAGGCCACTAACACTAATTGAGGCAAGTGATAACATGCATGCGGAAGTGTGAAGGTTGGTTTGCACGGCACTGCATTAATCAAGCAATGAGAAGCGAGATGGTTAGCTTGTTGGGTGTTGGAGAAAAAAATACGCATTAATTGACACGTCAAAAAAGGATTTGTATCGATCGATCCCGCGAAGGAAAGGGGAATTTGAGGATTTGCCACATGTTTGTTCGCGCTTTGAGGATTTGCCCCTATTTTCCTTGTCATCGATTATTTGCCACATGTTTCTCTAACTCCTGATGATTGTTCATACAGAATGTTTATCCAATCGCATGTTGGGGAAGATCTGTGCGGCCCGTGTGGTGGTCTGTTGGGAAGGAAGACGAGGTGAGGAAGAGCAAGGGTTAGGAGACGTAGGATCTTCATCCAACCGCCTGAAATGGTCGACTGACCAAAATGATGAAAGTCAGGTGACTTGCATAAATATATGTTTTTACACAACAAAAGATCCCTAAAACAACAACATGAAGAAAAAACTATTACTGCTCACGGAATGAGCCGGCCATGTCGTATTTGGCTGCCGGCGCGAACCAGCCGTACCTGCTGACGCGTGTTGCCGCACCGTGGTTTTCCTCGGTCTCCAGGTACTCGTTCACGCGGAGCGTGCGGGCGCTCTGCATGGGCACGAGCACTGCCCGGTTCACGTCCACAACTTTCAGTTTCGCTTGCATGAGTGCCTCGATGGCAACGGCATCCGTGTGCTCTGCGTCGAGTTGATCCTCCGCCGCCCGGTTCAAGTCGAGGACATCCGGTTCCACCTGCAGGAGGGCCTTGATGGCAGCAGCATCCGCGTGTTCCGCGTCAAGTTGAGCCTCTGCCGCCCGGTTCAACTCCACGACATCCGGTTCCGCCTGCAGGAGGGCCTCGATGGTAGTGGCATATGCGCGCTCCGCGATGAGTCGAGCCTGTGCCGCCCGGTGCTCCTTTAGGATCGCCAGGTTGAACTGCTGGTCCGCCTGCACCATGGGGGACCCAGACATTGGCAGGAAGTTGACATCCATCGTGTCATAAGCATCGGGGGCCTTCTAGGCCGCGACCTCCGCCATGGACACTGGATCGGCTTCCTCCTCCTCAAAGCTTGGATCTAGAGGGCTCGGGGATTGGCCCGCCGCAAAGCGAGCTTGGAAACGGAGGTCTATTGCGCCGACAGCCGTCATGATTTCTATGTTGCACTTCAGCGTCAGCATCTTGTAGTACATGATCTTGCGGCACACCATGGCTCTCCGGTGAACTAGGGGACAACTGATGTGGGCTAGGGGGTCAAAAGTTGGGAGAACGGGCTGGAGAGGAGGTGTGGTTTTGGGGTAGTGGTGACCGGCCGGCAAGTAGCTGGCGTAGGCCGAGCAGCGATGGTTCGGGTGTGAATAGTGGTACTGGCGACGACCGGTCAATCGGTTGCACAGAGTTTGAAAAGCTAGACAGCTGGAGCCTGGAGAGTTGTGGAGGTGGGATGGGACCAAAGTTTTGGAGTTTCACATGGAAAGGTGTCCGGACCTCCCCACTGTTCCCGTCCACGACGAGGCAGTGACTTCGTAAATCTCAAGATGATATGCCATCTCAGTCTCTCGAAGGTGCTCATACGAGTAGGGTGTTGATAACTGATGTCTACTACACAGCCTTCCTCTTGTAGACGTTGTTGGGCCTGCAAGTGCACAGGTTTGTAGGACAGTAGCAAATTTCCCTTGAGTGGATGACCTAAGGTTTATCAATCCGTGGGAGGCGTAGGATGAAGATGGTCTCTCTCAAACAACCCTGCAACCAAATAACAAAGAGTCTCTTGTGTCCCCAACACACCCAATACAATGGTAAATTGTATAGGTGCACTAGTTCGGCGAAGAGATGGTGATACAAGTGCAATATGGATGGTAGATATAGGTTTTTGTAATCTGAAAATATAAAAACAGCAAGGTAACTAATGATAAAAGTGAGCGTAAACGGTATTGCAATCTATTCAAGAGTTTGTACTAGAATAACACCTTAAGACACAAATCAACCAAAACCCTAATGTCACCTAGATACTCCATTGTCACCTCAAGTATCCGTGGGGCATGGTTATATGATATGCATCACACAATCTCATATTCATCTATTCAACCAACACAAAAGTACTTCAAAGAGTGCCCCAAAGTTTCTACCGGAGAGTCAAAACGAAAACGTGTGCCAACCCCTATGCATAGGTTCATGGGTGAAACCCGCAAGTTGATCACCAAAACATACATCAAGTGGATCACGTGATATCCCATTGTCACCACAGATAAGCACGGCAAGACATACATCAAGTGTTCTCAAATCCTTAAAGACTCAATCCGATAAGATAACTTCAAAGGGAAAACTCAATCCATTACAAGAGAGTAGAGAGGGAGAAACATCATAAGATCCAACTATAATAGCAAAGCTCGCGATACATCAAGATCGTGCCATAGAGAGAACACGAGAGAGAGAGATCAAACACATAGCTACTGGTACATACCCTCAGCCCCGAGGGTGAACTACTCCCTCCTCGTCATGGAGAGCGCCGAGATGATGAAGATGGCCACCGGTGAGGGATCCCCCCTCCGGCAGGGTGCCGGAACGGGCTCCCGAGAGGTTTTTGGTGGCTACAAAGGCATGCGGCAGTGGAACTCCCAATCTATATTCGTCTTCGATGTTTTTAGGGTATGTGGACTTATATAGGCGAAAGAAGTCGGTCGGGGGAGCCTCGAGGGGCCCAGGAGATAGGAGGCGCGCCTAGGGGGGTGGGCACGCCCTCCTATCTCCTGGCTTCCTCGAACCTTCCCTGGCTTGAACTCCAAGTCTCCGGATCATATCATTTCCAAAAATTACGCTCCCGAAAGTTTCATTCCATTTGAACTCCGTTTGATATTCCTTTTCTTCGAAATACTAAAATAGGCAATAAAACAGCAATATGGGTTGGGCCTCCGGTTAATAGGTTAGTCCCAAAAGTAATATAAAAGTGTATAATAAAGCCCATAATCATTCAAAACAGATAATAAAATAGCATGAATGCTTCATAAATTATAGATACGTTGGAGACGTATCAACATCCCCAAGCTTAATTCCTGCTCGTCCTCGAGTAGGTAAATGATAAAAGAAAGAATTTATGAAGTGTGAATGCTAGAATGTGCACAAGTTTGATCAATGATAATTGCAATCACCTTTTGTAGCATAATTATATAACAGTACTTCATCTCATAAAACTTCTCACGATCAAGTAACAAACTATTCACATGTTAGACCATAAACTTTCTTGAAAACTAGCAAACTTCACTCTTAGTCACACTTTAAACAACATCCATAGGCGCGTAATATATTGCACACATGTCATTAATTGTAGTGCTTTAATTTTTGAATTATTTGTAAACATTTTGAAAAAAATCATAAATTACAAAAAAGTACATTGGTTTTGAACTTTTTTTGAAAATAGTTTAGCAATTTGAGAAAAGTTAATCATTTTGAAAAATAGTTCACAAATTTTGAGAAAAAAGTTCATGGATTTAAAAAAAGTTCATCAAATTTTGAAAAAAGGATCATTGATTTTGGAAAGAGTTAATCCATTTTGAAAAATAGTTCACAAATCTTGAGAAAAAAAGTTCACGGATTTAAAAAAGTTCACCAAATTTTGGAAAAAGGTTCATCGATTTTGGAAAAAGTTAATCCATTTTGAAATATAGT